TTTTTTGTAGAGATGCATTCATTAATCTTTTTAAGGAAGCGAAGTTGACAAAAATCGTTATAAATTTGCTTTTAACGATTATTATCTAGATTATTTACGACCGTAAATGTAAATAAGGTTTGAGTAATTTAAATCGAAATTGCTATTCCCTAAACTTTAAAAATTGCCATCTTTCTTTTTTTTCTAAAAAGAATTGCAATTAAACAAGAAATTAACAGTATAGTGATTGATTCAGAAATGATAATTATAAAATAAAATGTTGACTCAACTTAAATATTCATGATAAAAATAATTTTTAAGACCGTTTCTTTCAATTGGACAGTTCTCAAAAGGTGGGGGCGTAACACAGATCTAAATTTTAAATTCTGACCACAATTAAATTTAATTTGAAATGAAAGTTTTAAAGCAAATATATAATTCTGTGTAGTGATAGACATGAAGATTAACAAGTGGGCTGCGCCCCCTGCTCGCTAACGCTCGCCAACCCCCGAAAATTGCTACGCAATCTTAAATGGTTTGCTTCGCAAACCAAGCTCGCTACTTACTTAGGTACATTGCGAAGGCACAAAATTCTAAGAATTCAAAACAATCATTCAAATCCATATAAAAACTTTTTTTTAAAAAAAAAGATTTCATCTTTTTAGTAAATACTAAGTCATTAAAATAAGCTATGATCCGGCAAACACTGAGGCTATTTTTTTGTCAGTAATATTATCGGTGCAAGACGGGAGCAGAATTCGTATACACCGAACGCCGCTGGGATTCGAACCTGGGTTAATTCCTTAAAAGGCAAGCGCTTTATTCCCTGAACCACCACGTTTAGCAAAACAATTATACAAAATTCCAAGAATTCAAAACAGTTATTCAAATCCATATAAAAACTTTTTTTAAAAAAAAAATTACATCTTTTTAGTAAATAATAAATGACATGTAATTCGTTAAACCTATTAGAAATGTACTATAGTATAATTCGTATTATAAATCAAATATTGCCAAATAAATTCGTAATATATAAATTCGTGAAAAAAAATCGCTTTCGACAAAATACTAACATAGAGATCTATCTACAAAGACTACTCACTTCTGCCTAGCTTAATAGTATGAGATTGCCGCAGCTGATCAACACCTCCTAGAAAAGAGTAGGCCTCTGCACGGGTTACCATAAATATCCTTTAGTAGTCCAAACGTAATGACATTGTCGTATTTTCAACCACTGCGCAGCTTAGTACCCCGAACGTAATGACATCTTTCTTATTTTTCATCAACTGCGCAGTTAACTTCGTCACATCGGACTACTAAATTGATCCGTGCTGAGGCCTTCATACTTCTAGGAGGTGTTGAGCTGATGCTCTCTGGTTTTCCATGATGACTTCGCTTGCAAATAACGAATTATAGTAAAAATTTTCTATTAAAACCTTAATTTTTGGTCCAAAAGCGCCCATTCTGGACGTTTAAAGTGTTTAAAATTGAACCGTGATGGCTCAGGAGATAGAGCGTTCGCCTTTCAATGAGATGAACCGGGTTCGAACCCCAACGATGACTGGTTGATACAAATTTCGCATCCTGCTTGCACTGACCACAGTGCTGACGTAAAATATCCTCAGTGGTAGATGGATCATGGGTTAGAGTCCCCTTACTGTCAAGCTGACCGTATAAGGTTTTCGTGGTTTTCCTCCCCATGTAATGCAAATGCGGGTTAGTTCCATCAAAAAATTTTCCACGAAGGCAAATTCCTCCCTATACTTGATCCAGGAGTTCCCTTGTCTTCTGGATTGGGTTCAAAATTACAAGGCTACGGAGGTGAACATTAGTAGTCGTGAACCCAAAAAAAATTCGGTCGTCGGTTATAAAATGCTTAAAATAAGAAAAAAGATATAAATTTTAAATAGGACGGTTACTTGATATTAAATTACTGTGAATTTTTTTTTAGATAAGCAAATGAGTGTTTTGATGCATTCCAAAAACGTTTTGAAAGATACCCTCGAGTAGAGTAAATACAGCATCGGTTTATTTGAAGAAATTGAATTAAGATGATTAAAAGCATGTTTTAGAATCCATACTTCCCTTTATCTGTTGACTCAACGTCTTCTAGAAGGCGTTGACACGGACGGATCACTTTTGTAGTTCGACGTAACAAAAATAAACTGCGCAGAGAGGATAATAAAATTTTCACAACGTTTGGACTACTAAACTACGCAGTGGGGGAAATTAAGAAAGATGTCACCTCATTTGGATCACTAAACTAAGCAATGGGTGAAAAATAAGACAGATGTCACATAGTTTGGATACTAACCTTTGCAGTAGGGCGAATATGAAATACAGTCAAACCCCGCTATGGTGAATCTTCGAGGGACCGAAATTTCGGTTCACTATATCCGTTCCGCAAACAATTTTAACTGGTTGTTCCAAACTCCCCCCCCCCTTTTATTACACGACATTATTTAAATAAATGACGAATTGAATGAAATACAAAAATTACAGAAAAATAATACTGAGTAACAAAAATATTTATAACTTTTATATTTTCTCTCCGATCATTTTTCCTCAATTTATGTTATTTCAAACCTGTTCAATAATGAAGCAAACAAGAAAAAATGCTTATTGCTACAATCCACGCTATAGATGGTTTTAAAAATTGGTATGGTATGTATTTGTTTTGACGTAGAAATCTCAAAATTATCAGTCTTCAATCAGTCGAAGACAGAAAAAAGTTCATAATATCCAACTTCCTCTCCTTTTTTGGTTCACTATATCCACAAAAAATAACATTATACGTGAGTAGCAAGGCATGGGAGCGAACATTTCGTTCACTATAGAGGGGTTTCACTGTATATCACATCGCTTGGATACTAAAATACGCGATCAGGACGCATAAATACTGAACTACGCAGTGTAGGGTTAAAGAACGATGTCAATCCATAATAAATATAAAGCAGGCTATAAAGTTAGAAGAAATTTTAAACAATCAGAACTACTCAAAATAAATCTTAAATAATTTACATGGACTTTTTATTTCAAGTTTCAATCAATATGCACGCCCAAGTATTTATTTTATAGTGGTTACGGATTCTAATTTTTACCCCTGTAGCTTAATACTTTTACGCAAGTGAGAAGCCGTGCGAAGATTAGAAAAGATTAGATTAGAAAGATTAGAAAATTTTAAGATTAGTTTTGTCGATATTTAAGTTCTAGGGATTATTAATAAACCAATTTTGGTTTTTGTAAAGATCGTCGTTAATTTCGCTTCCTAGATCTTTTTTAAATTATTTGATGAGAGTGTCGTGTCATCTGCTAAAATTATGACTTAACCTTTTAATTTTAAGTTACATGCGTCCTAAATAAAAATAAGAACAAAAGGAGGACATTAAAAATTTAAGAGATTTTTATGTTCTTAATGATTAAATTATTCATTATTACTAATATTCCTATCCATGAAAGGTGTATAGTTCGTTCATCAGGAGTTGGCCCCACCTCCTGGGGCGAAGAGTTCATTTCGGCGTGGGAGTAAGAGGAGAAAAGTCTACACGCTTGAAATTGAGACAACCCTTAATGCGCTTCAAACTTAAACAGTCGATTCTTTTTCAGTCACTTACTTCGCTTTATCATCTGCTATTATACTTTAGCTAATTATAGCTAATTAAATAGCTTATAATTTTGCAGCAAAACGTCTCAAAAAGGACAAACTATTCACTCAAAAGAGAGAAATATCAAATTTATGAAATATTTAATGTGAAAAAATGTACATAAAGATTTCGAAATAATTATTTTTGTCATACTATCGTTAAATAGCAACCTTGTTCAGAATTGTTCACATCTTTCTCCCAAAAATAGCGAAATAGTATAATCGGATACCACGTGATGAAGGCAGAGCCAAGTGCCAACTCCTGGTTAACGAACTATATTTGTTTGCTTCCTCTTTTAACAAAATGGTATGAAATATTAACGCGAACTATTCTATAGTGGAGGAACGTTACAATTTCATATTCTTAATGATTAAATTTTTCATAGTTACTAATATTCTTCGCTATGCAAGGAGAAGGTACATTTGTTTGTTTTGTTCTCTTTTAACAAGAATGTCCACAATATTAAAACGCGAATTATTCTATAAAATCTTAATGTTACAATTTCATATACTTAATGATTAAGTTCTTCATAATTACTACTATTCTTACCTATAGATGCTGTATTTGTTTGTCTTCTCTCTTAACAAAATTGTAAACAATATTAACGCAAACTGTTCTATAATGGCAGAACGTTACAATTTCATGTTTTTAATGAGTAGGTTCTTTATAATTACTGATATTCTTATTTATGGAAGGTGTATATTTGTTTTCTCCTCTTAAACAAAATTGTAAACAGCATTACTACGAACTATTCTATAATGGCGGAATATTTACATATCTCAATCATGTTTGCAGTGAGCATAGGTGGAAAATCTCGCCATTTTGGCGATTTTTAAAAATGGTAAATTACTTTTTAAAAAATATAAGCTGTTTTTTTACTTCTAAAGCCCGGATAATTTCATACGGTAAAATTATAAGATTAAGAATTAAAGCTGTGCATCGAGAGTAACGCACTTAATCGTCCTAGTATGTGATTCATTTTACGGGTCTATAGATGGCGCCAATAAGATTGTTATTTTTATACGTTTTTTTTTTCCTGCCATTTTATCACTGGCTCAGAATAAAATCAAGTAAATTTAATATTGCTGAACTTGGTGGTGATCGTATAACAAAAAAAATAGTACTTTTTTAACTATGTGGTGTGACATTCGAGAATAAATGCCTAAATCATTGATAAAATAAAAATAATTGTTTATATTTTATTTTATTAAATTTATTGTTTTTTAATGTAAATTATATTTTCATTATTTAATAATTGTTTACATTTACTTTTTACTAAATTGATTATTTTATTTAATACAAATAATGTTATTTTAAAACTTTTTGTAAAGTATTAGTGGCGCCACCTATTGATCCGTTGAGTAACTACAACAAACATAACAAAACACGTCACATTTATTCACTACATTGACATTTATACAAGTGTTACATATAAAGCGAATGAATGCTAACTGTACAAATCGATGAGTTTTTCCTTCAAATGATCTTCGTCTTCGAAAGGATTCAGACCGCATTCCTTCAACAACAGATAACCCTTCAATTTGATATCAAGATTGAGTGATCGTACACCATTAGGCAGCTGAAAATTCATGCCAAGTCTATGGCGAATGGCACACCTAGACAAGTGTCGTAAACTCCTTGGCGAGTCCAAATGGCTGCCATCTTTTAAAACAACAGCTTTGTACCACTGCCAGGTTTGCTTAGTTATCTCAGGATTCTCATAGAATGATTTTAAAATATATACTTTATATCGTTGGGTAGCTTGGATAAAATTCACCAAACCGTGAATTAAGTTACCACTCTCAGCAGCACTTGGAGGTACCCTGCCAACTAAGGGTTTAGATTCGTTTAATAAGTTCATAAACTTATTCAAACAGGCGGCCATTTTTTCTTGCGTTTGCAAGGGATCCGGGATGGACGCCCATAAAACCTTCAGTGTATATTCTACTTCCTTTCGGAAATTTTCTTTGATTCTCGATCTTAGGAACAGACAGAATGTTTCGGTACTTCGTAACATACTCAGAGGGTCGATCTGCTGTTCACATCCTTGTTCTACTGATTGTCTGAAAATATTAACAACAATAATGTGTGAATAAATCTTACTATGATATATATATAACGAATTTGTTCAACCGATGGTCTGAAAATATTGAAGACAATAAATATCAAGGTCTAATGAGTATTAGTTTATAATTAGGAAGGTAACTTAATTCTGTCTTAGTAAGAAACAAGTAGTATTAAAAATTTTTTTAAGTCAATTGCTATTTAGGTTAACAAAAAAAATGTTATTTTAGTCACTTTTTATTAAATAATTACAATTTTTTTCGCCCACCCTTGTTCTACTGATTGTCTGAAAATATTAACAACAATAATGTGTGAATAAATCTTACTATGATAAATATACAAACGAATTTGTTCAACCGATTGTCTGAAAATATTGAAGACAATAAATATCAAGGTCTAATGAGTATTAGTTTATAATTAAGAAGGTAACTTAGCAAGAAACAAATAGAATTAAAAAAAAAATTTAAGTCAATTCCTATTTAGGTTAACAAAGAAAAATCTTATTTGAGTTAATTTTTATTAAATAATTAAAATTTTTTCTCCCATATAAATCTAATATAAAACTAATTAATTAATAAAATTTAATTAAGGAATTAATATTTAAAAAAAAGCTAAATTAACATCAAGTATCATCCACTACAAGTTTTAAAAAAAATTTATTTGAACAAGATATGTTGTTGTTGTTTCTAATGCCATTTGCCACACGGGCAAGCCTGCTTGGCGAAACCGTACAAATTTAAAGCAGAGTGTGCGTTCAGAGGCGCCATCTATGGCCACGAATTCGACTTCTGCCACACCATACGTCGCACCCGTTTATAGGGCGAACCGATTCATACATCCATTCATTCATCCACTGATCGTAATTTTGACCTGAAGTAGAGAACGATCGATCTCCAATCCAGTACCCCCAGAGGTTTTGATTTGTTATGGGAACGTGGAGGACTTTTACGACTTGACAGATTTAACGTGCATCAGTCACTTCGCTACACGGGGAGTCTTCGGCTGGCGGGATTTGAACTGTCGGACATGGGCCCAACGCCCTACCGCCCAGGCTATCCCGGCACTGAACAAGATATAAAAATATGTATAGGGAGAGTGTAAACTAATAGTAAGAATTGAAAAGGGAAAAAAAATACGCTTTGTATCAGGCAACTATAGAAGTAAAAATGTGGTGACGTGGGGGCCCAAACGTGGTTTCTTAAGAATTTTCCATTGCGCAAGCATTAATTGAAATTATAATGAAAGTATGGAAAGAAATTCTATATTTAAACAAAATTAATCTAATTTAGTTATGATACTCAAAGAATTGATTTTCCGCGAATAGGCCAGACGAAACCGATTTTTTGAAATCTCGCCAAACTAGGTTTCTGGGAGATAAGTTGTGCAACCTTACAGAGCGTCTATTTTGATTATTTTTCATTTTATTAAAAATATTTTAATACATATGTAATAATTTGAATTGTTTTTTTTTAATAATAAAAAAAAAACAATGTTGATTCAAGTAATAATCACCAACTTGGCGAGATTTCAAAAAATCGCCAAGAGGTGAACTATTCTAGGATTTTACCCCAATCCAGTAATATATAGAGATTAGAAGATAGCATGCATAATTTCTCATTTTGCCAATTTAAGTTCTTATTAGGGAGAACCACTAATATTAGTTATCTGAATTGCTCCTTCAATGCTTTGAGCTTAAATCAGTAATTTCGTCAGAGATCTGACAGAGAGAAGAACAGGTTAACCAGAATTTTAACCCTATCACTTATCCAAACAGGAGGGTAAGTCACCATAGTTTGAACTCGAGAAATATGGTCACTCGGTCGCCACTGGCGACCAATAAATATTGAGTGGCGACTATATTTTTAGCTCTTTAATTACGATCTAACATTTTTTTTAAATTTTATTTATATGAAAAAAATTGGTCTGGGAGTACAACGAGAGCGATATTTAATATTTCCACCTGTCTTTTAAACAATCGGCAGCAAAAAATCCTATTTTTCTCGATTTCGCATTCCACGAAGTCGTATTCCACAAATTTCTGACTCGGAGTTTTGTAAAAGTATGTTAAAGAAAATTTGGGAATTTAAACAATTATGTAGAAATTCATGATAATAATTGCGGAATTGCGATCGAAAGCCATGTAGACTTGCGATGAAATCCGTGCAAAATCGAACTAACGTGGTTGGAAATCTATAGTCATATGCGAGATTTGAGAATCATGTGTCGTAATAGTTTCGTGGTAAAAACATGGAGATTTTAAACTTAAGTAGCCAAACATGGGTATAGCCCGAAATAAAAGTGGTTCGGCAAACAATCTGAGTTTACGACGAAATCGAATATACAACTTCGCTCTTAGACTCATTGAATGGGGAGTAAAGTCATCAAAGAACGGAGCAATCAATGAATATGAAAAATCAATAAATTTGCGAATCAATGAAAAGCGAAACCGCAAGTTACAACATTGAATGAGAGCATGAATAAATCAAGGAACGAATGAATGAGTGAACCATGAAATGAGCATGTCAACGAAGTACTGAATCAATGAAAGGGTGATTTAATGGATCGATAAATCATTGAACCACTGAAACGGCTAATCAACAAATAAGTTATTTTCAGACCTGTTGATTCCCTTATTGATATTAATTCACTGTTATATTGATGTTTCTTATTCACTGATTCAATTTTATTTATCGATTACTTGTTAATTTGTTTAATCGCTTAATCATTGATTCACTAAATAATCAATTATTTGAACACACTGATTAATTTATCCACTTATAACTAATCATTAGTAATCTAAATGAAGCAAAACAAAACCTCTAATTTTCAACTTATCATTTTTAAAACAGAAGTTGAGCCTTAGAGTCCGTTTTAGCAAACTTTTTATTAAATCTTCAAATTGCTAATTTATTAATTATTTTAATTGTTCATTTGTTGTTTTCCTGATTTATTGATTTGTGTATTCACCAATTAACTTATTTATTAGCTCATTGATCCTTATTCCTTTATTGTAGCGTTCCAATTAAGGAATTAGCGATATATTAGTTTTTAATAGCGTCCCAATTATAATTTAATAATTATGATTTTATAATAGTGTCCCAATTTAAGAATTAAAGTTATCTTAGCTTTTATTCCTTAATTCGAAATCTATAGATTTATTGATTAAGGTAATATCGATTTACTCATTCAGCGATTCCTTGATTCGTTCCATTCTGAGTTACTGAATCATTGATTCGCTACCTTATTTTTCGATTCTTATTTATTTTATTCTTCACCTAAATAGGCGATTTAGGTGTAGTGAGTACGCATTTTCTCTAAAAAAAATAATAATAAAAAATGCAGAAATAAATATTTATTTTGAGTCTTTCCTAACCACGGTATAAAAAAATATCGCAAATATAGTTACGAAAGTGAAACTAAGGATGTTTGCAGAAACTAAGGATTTGGATAAATCATTTATAGGGATATCTCAATTTAGGCAGTTGAAACGATAGACGAAAATTATTTTATTTCAGGCTGTGGTGAAAAACGAATTTGCTTGGAATACCCATTTCAGGCGGTGATTTCATACTTGCTGACACAAACTTGTTGGATTTTTAAATAAATTTCAGAACATAATTAAAATAAACTCAACTGTAATACACCTTAATATTTCATATTTAAATATTATTTTAATATTTCATTAGGTGGAAAACGTTTTCCTTTGCTTTAAAAAAGAGTTATTTTTTTCCTTACTATAGATTAAGTATAAATTAGGGAAAGCATCATCACTGTATGGAATATGGATAAGTAATAACAGGGTTATTATCATGCATTATGCACCGTTTATTGTTAATAATAATAATAGTCCCATTAACCGTGATAACAAAACGCAAAGCGTTCGTCATGTCACTATCCAGTATTTCCTACACTGATCTTTTTTTTTTTTTTTTTTTTTTTTTTTTTTTTTTTTTTTTTTTTTTTTTTTTTTTTNAATTTAGGCAGTTGAAACGATAGACGAAAATTATTTTATTTCAGGCTGTGGTGAAAAACGAATTTGCTTGGAATACCCATTTCAGGCGGTGATTTCATACTTGCTGACACAAACTTGTTGGATTTTTAAATAAATTTCAGAACATAATTAAAATAAACTCAACTGTAATACACCTTAATATTTCATATTTAAATATTATTTTAATATTTTATTAGCTGGAATACGTTTTCTTTTGCTTTAAAAAATTAGTTATTTTTTTCTTTACCATAGATTAAGTGTAAATTAGGGAAAGCATCAGCACTGTATGGAATATGGATTATCAATAACAGGGTTATTATCATGCAGTATGCACCGTTTATTGTTAATAATGATAATAATCACATTAACCGTGATAACAAACCACGAAACGTTCGTCGCGTCACTGTCCAGTATTTCCACACTGATGTTTTTCTTTTTTTTAAGTTTAAGTACCCTTGCCTAGCATGCACTTACCCGCGGTATTCCCTTTAAGCACCATTACTCGGTACTCTTTATAGTGATGTTTTTTCAGGTAAAGTATCATTTCTTGGCAAACACTTCGCCACGTTATAGTAAAGTTTATTTAAGATAAAGAACCATTACTTGATATTCTTTACACTGATGTTTTTTATGTTTAAGTACCATTTCCTGACATACACCTGGCCGTGGTATTCACTAAACTGATGTTTATTTTTTAAAGGTAAACCTGTTATTCCATACACTGATGTCTTACGTAATGCACCACAGTCAAGCACTGTTATAATAATAACCATCGATTAGTAATAATTACCAAGTTAGCTCATGAAAGCTAAATTTGTGTTTCTAGAAAAAAATATGATATATTGAATAGAGACGTTTTTATTGTTCGGTCGTTAATTTTATTAAAAAAGAAAAAAAGAAAAAAAAAAGAATTCGCGTTTACGATCTAAGCCATGGTTATCTCGAAATCTAGTGCCTAAAACGAGGCTATCAAAAAGAATTCGCGTTTACAATCTAATCTATGGTTATCTCGAAACCTAACGCCTAAAACGAGACAATCTTAAAATCCTATCCACCAACACCGTCTCAAATAGGACATTTTCACCACATCAAATAGGAACGCCTCGAACGGTACTAAACCGCGGAAACATAAGGATTTTAACAATATAAATTGAGAAACCTAACAATACATGAACAGCAATACGAATGTAATAATTATAAGAATGTAAAAATATGGCGAACAGAATAATAATAAACAGGATACCTATTTTTTTTTCTCTTCATTTTACAAATGATTCAATAAAATTAAAGTAATTAGCATATGAATATAAAATAAAGCATCTAACTTCAACAAAAAAAAGTTAACTTTTAAAAAATTTCAAAGGAAAAAAAAACAGTATATCTGCGACAAGCAATCTTTTATCCTATATTTCAACACACGTTTTACTAACGAACACTCGACTTCTAAAAANAAAAAAAAAAAAAAAAAACACATCATTACTACATTTTTCTAGCCAAATTCTCTGGAGCGCTCGTTTTTGGCGATCGAAACTTTAACTTCAGTTATATATTCAGGGTTATCTATTGAGATTCTTTCGAAAAATGACAGTTTACAGTGTTGGTGCAGTGCAAGTATTTTTTCTATTCAAAAATATATTTTTAAGTTTGTGCAAAAGAGACTTGCTTTGCCTTTAGTTTAAAAAAAACTTGTTAAATGATTATGATATCAATTGTATGGTTTTATTTCTACCTTTAAAACAGAAAAAAATCTCTTTCTATTATAAATCAAAAGATTTTTTTTTTTCTGAGGAAGCACATTTTCATTTCTTTATCTGCTTTTCAAGAAAACAGATAAATAAAAAAAAAATTGGAGTACTTAATTAAATTGGGGGAAAAAAAAGAACATTTAATTCAGTTTAATTTTCAAAAAGAAAAGAAATTTTTTTTTTCTCTTGTATAAATAGATCTCTTGTTTAAAGAAAAAATTTCTTAAATAAATAAAAGATTCATACTGTAATACTATCCGCCTTTTCTGATTTTTGCTTAAATTTTTGATATTAGTTTTCTTAATTTTTTTTTAAAGTTTGCTGATAGTTTCACTCTAAGGTAAAATACTTTTGAAAAATATGTGCTATAAATGCTGCGATGTCTAAGATTGGGAGAAATAAGACCTATTATTTGTTACAACGTAATCACTCTCCTTAGTGTGTATTTTTTGAACTCTTGTAAAAAAAAAAAGTAAAAATAAAAAAAGAGTTAAAGACGAATACACATTAAAGGTCGAAGCTTGAAAACTAAAATATCATCAAAATCTGAATAGATGTCAAGGAAAGCAAAATTAAAAACATCAAAACTTGTTTGATTGCAGGGGGGGGGAAATCAAGTAAGGCGAAAGCCACTGACGATAACCGCACTACACACTAACATGTTAGTGCCTACAAGAAAATTAAAATACTGTGCCCCCCCCCNCCCCCCCCCCAAAAAAAAAACAAATAAATAAATACGGACCACCCTGAATAACTTTTAATCTAATGATTTTTTTAATCTAATGATCTAATGACTTTGATAACTTTTAATCAAATCAGTCATTAAAATTATGTAATTGTTAAAACAGTTCTTTTTCTTTTAAGGAGATTTTTTTTTCTAATTATGAAACGTAAAATCTCGTCTACAATAATTGCCTAGCATATTAAAGGCTTGACTTTAAACCATTAAAACTAAGTCCTAGAACGTGAAAATCCGATCATTAAATAAAAAGTTTTTATGGTGATGATTTTTTTTTCTTCTTATAAACCCACTGTATGAGCTACAAATTAATATTTTACTGAGAAAAAATAAGCAAAAATGATTCCTATCTTACACAAATCATTGAGGTTAACAAAAGCAAAGGTGGGATTAAAATCATATGAAAAGTGAGGTTTTTAAGAGTAAGGTTAAGCCTTCTTTAGGATACAGCTTAACACATTCCTCTCAGAAGTATCAAAAATGTACCTTTTTTGTATTGATGTGAAATGTATACCGTTATGAAAAAAGTGGCAGAATACTTGTACTTAACTTAAGTGGATAATTTGCAGTGTTAGCACTTAATTGCTTAAAATTTTGAAATTAATCATTTCAGATTATAAATATTAAAAAAATATTTAACTTATTACATAACTTCTGCCTATATGAAATAAATTTTAGGAATTAAAATATTGAAGAAAAAAAAAATACTGTCCTAAAACGGGAAAAATCGCTTAAGATGGTTCCTACGGTAAGGAAACGGTATTCCAGTTAAACTTGATAAATAAACTCTTTTTTAAGGATATTATATCCACCTAGGCTTCTTCTAGCCTCAATAATTTTAATTTAAATATTAATTTACTGTACTCAATTTGCATCCCCCCCTTCAAACTCAAAAATGTACTATAAGGGATTTACGGAACACCCTCTATAAATGTCACTTACCTGTCTAATGGGCATAATTCTCCACTCTTCGGTGCATTTAATTCTTCTGTCCAACGGCAGTCCTTTTCTGAATAGTGACTGATAGCGCCAAATTCAACCAACTGCACATACTTCTCGTCAAGAAAGAACAAACATCTGTCAACAGTTCTTAGTACTCCAAGTTTAACCTCATTCAATAAACTCGTTTTCAACCCAGACTTCTGCAATGCTCTTAAAACGTACTTTAAGCTCAGCACCTCTTTCAGGAAGACAAAATTTACTTTCGCTTTTACGTGAAAAACTCTGAAAGCGATGGCCACGAGTTCATCATCCAACCTGTACCTGTGAATCAATTTGCAGTAGTACCGAAGGTTATGTGCAACCGCGTACGGTCTCCTTTTTAAGCTATAAAGAGACAACTGCAGGGCTTTCAAGCACAGTTTAATTGCAACTGACATGTAAGCTTTGCATTCGCCGCCATAATGGTAATTTACCAACAAACTCACAATGTATGGTAGCCTCAAATGTGGATACATTTTCCTTATTGTCACGGCTAGATGACAAGGCATCATCTCCAGAAAATCATACAGACATACAAATCGAGCCAAGAGTATGCGTGGATGGGAACATGGCGGATCATCGCCGAATGATAACCAATATCGTCTCCAGGGCAATTCAGTTTCTTCATCGCTATCATCCGAATAGCGCCGTCTTTCTTCGCCTCGACAGTAATCCAAATCATCTTTTAAATTAGAATACTCTGAGCGGTGCAGAGATGAGCAGTCTTGTCGATCTAGGACATCCGGGAGGTAATGGCGGCTTTGGGCGATGAAGCTGTCTGTTATTCTGTCTGTTGGCGCGAGTATGTCTGCGTCAGTACACAGGGGACCGTATTGGTCTATGTGTTGGTTGTATTGATCTATTCTGTGTTGAAATGCTTGTTCGATAATCTTCATATCCTGTTTTGTAATGTAATTAGATTTCGGTCCTGCCATTATGACTATTGTTTACGGATCTGTTAGCCACTATCTCAAACGAAATCGTGTATTTTTCACTATCACACCATTACAAACGAACCTAAATCCGCGGATTCGTTGTTTTACTACTATCCCAAAGTTACAAACAAAATTGTATCACCACCCATAAAAAAAATCACTTTCCCTGAATAGATTTACGCACTAAGAACTTAAATGGAATGACCCTAAACGAAGAAGGTGACATTGAAACCAGTTCTTGTACCTACAACTAGTAGATAAAAGTGGGGGGACTAATGACGTTGAAGCTCTTTCGTGTTTGGGGGATATTCGGAAAAGGCACATTCCCAGAAATACCCCCACCCCCTGGTACTGATCCCTTGACCCTTTCTTCATGGACTACAAAAAAGAAAAAGTGCACGGAGAAAAAAACTCTTAAAAAAAGAATACTGAAAAAGGAAATAACTCTTTGACAGTTTTATGTATTAAACTATAGACTCTATTTGAGTCTTTGAGCTTGAATTTAACGTATAATTAAAATTTGTTCGGATAAAATTAAGCAATTCTGTTAAAAACTAATAAAGATATTAGGATTTGTTTTCAGTTTACGGATAGGAATTTTTCACAATTATTAATTTTTTTTAACGAAATGATGAGGACTTTTAAGGAGGTTTAATATTTTATATTAAACCTCCTTATTATAATATTTTATATTAAACCTTATTATTGAATTATAATTGTTGAGAGATTTAAAAACTTCAAAAAAATATTTTTTTTCCTTCTTCAAATACCGTCCAATGTTACATAGGCACTTTAAATGGAAAGGTGGTTTGTGATTTGCTTACTTTCGCTGAAAAGGTGGGAGATTGGGTAAGATCAGTGCTAAGTAGGACCCTAAAATCTCCTTCTTTTCCTTTCTTTTTTTCCCCCCCTCTAAAAAAAATTCATAATAGTCAAATTCAGAAAAAGAAAAAAATTATGAAAATTTTTACAAAATGAACTAACACGTAAATTTTGTTTTATTTTTAAAACGTAATGCTAGATTTACTTAAATTTACGGATAAAATTCTTAGAAATAGATAACTATAAAAAAGTCAGAATTTGAAAACTCTTTATTCCATTTCCATTTGAAGTAAGTTAATAACCAAACTGCAAATATAATTGCATGGTGCAATTTCATAGTTTCGAAATTAAAATAGCTATTTAAAGATTATTTTTTTAAAAAGAAACATTTCAAGGGGTACGCTGAAGATATGAAAATAATAAACCGTACTTAAACTGGCACACTTATCGAAGAAGGTTCATTTTTGATCTACAGCACGCGTTTTGTTTTTGAATTGCAAGCATGTATTTTTATATTAGCTAGCATATGTTTTTAATAATATAGCGTGAAATATGTTTTTATAATCGTTAGGATATTTTTTATAAGATTGCATTGCACGTTTTTTAAAATAGCTATAATATTTTTTATAATGTAGCGTAACATATGTTTTCACAATAGCTAGCAAATGTTTTTATAATATTGCATGACTTATGTTTTTAAAATAGTTAGCGTATTTTTTATAATATAGTGTAACATGGGAAGGGATAGCCTGGTTGGTAGGGCCCATGTCCAAGAGGTCGTCGGTTCGATCCCCGCCAACCGAAGACATGCACGTTAAATCTGTCGAGTCACAAAGTCTTCCATTTTCCCATAACAAATCATACTTCCGGGAGTACAGATCTAGGAGTTTCCTTGTCTTCTGGATTGGTTCAAAATTACAAGAGGATACGTAGTTAAACATAAGCAGACGTAAAGCTAAAATTGGATCGGCTGTTCAACGACAGTGATAAAATAATTATAAAATAAAATATTGTGTAACATAGGTTTTTATAATATTTAATATAAGTTTTTGTTAGCGTGACATGTTTTCCTAGTAGGTAGCATATGTTTCTTATAATATAGCGAGACATATGTTTTTATAATAGCTAGCATATGTTTCATATAGCTATTATTAAATGCTAGAATATAGCGTAAGGGAGTAGAGTATGGTGGGTGTGACCTTTATGACGAGGGGGGCACAATATTGAAATTTATGTGCTAAATTTGCACATAATCAGGCAGAGATCAGCCAATTTTAATGTTTTTCTTTCAAATCAGCTATTCAGATCAAATTTTAATTTTCTTCTAAAATGTAATACATCAAGAACTTTGGATAATAGTGTGGTCATCTCTATCAAATAGTTACATTTGAAAATGAAAGTACTACTATAAAATGAAAGTACGGGCAACTGCTTAGACGGTGTGAAAAATTTGAGTACTGTTTAAATTGATTAAGGTATTAGGATTGGAGGAGGGGTTGAAGAATTAGAGTATTCAAATACAGTTTTGCTGTGCATTCGGCTTGGTTATCATATAGATTTTTATGTTGTACAAGATAATTTTGAAGCGTGACTAAGCTGGTCGCCACCAACGGCTACTTCTCAATAATAATAGTATACATTATATTTCACTATCTTTTTTTACTATAGATCATGCTAAGGGTCACCAAGGATGAGAATAGATGGCACTCCTCTTTCTGTCATAGGAAATTCAAGACTTTTCAACTTTAAGCGGTAACATGGTGGTTGAAATATTTTCTGGAGGCATTTTCCGACGATTGTTTCATTGGAGAAATGATTATTTAGAAAGTTCAAAATTGTTTAACTCCTGTTTTTGAAAATATTTTCTGGTAATTAAAAAAAGAGTTAAGTCTTATTGGAATGAACGGCTAAGTGTGGTCATGCCAATTGGCGTTAAAATAACACTGTGGCTACTGTCTATGGAATTTCAAACGGGATTTCGTGATAGATCGTTTTACTGAAAGCGTTACAGTAATACACGTTCATACTAAAGAGTATAAACTGTAGAGCCTTGGTGGCTCAGGGGAAAGAGCTCTCGCCTCCCAATGAGGTGACCCGGGTTCGATCCCAACAACAGCTAGTCGATTTGAAATCCGCAGCCGGCTTGCACTGACCACAGTGTTGACGTAAAATTACCTCAGTGGCAAACGGATCATGGTTAGAGTTCCCTTGACGTCAGGCAAACCTTGGAAGGTTTAAGTGGTTTTCCTGTCCATGCAATGCTAATGCGGATTAATTCCATCAAAAAGTTCTCCACGAATGCAAATTTCTCCCAATACTTGATCCAGGAGTTCCCTTGTCTTCTGGATTGAGTTCAAAATTACAAAGCGGCGGAGTTGAACATTAGTAGTCGTAAACCCAAAATTGGGTTCACTGTTCAACGACGGTTTTAAAATATAAAAAAAGTATAAACTGTATTCAAAAAGTTCTTTACGGGTGTGCTTAAAAATATTTTCTTCAATTTAATTTAAATATTAAAATGACTGCGATAAAAGTTTTGCAATCTTGCAATGCAATTTTTTTCACTGATTATTAAATTAAATAATTTTAAAAAAAATGATTATCATGGAGTAAATAATAAATACATGCCATTATTAAAGTAAGTAATGAATACGCAAAAAAGAGAAATAAGCTTATAAGAGTCCACATTTTGAACGGTATAGAACACTTCCAAACAACTAACATTAATTAAGCCATGATTTAGGGCGATTCAGGCTCAAATCTCGCTATTTCTCATATTTGCGAACTTTTCCTGCCTCTCACTACTTCATCCCTTAATGTAAAACGTTTTTAGTAGTATACTGCTCATAGGTATAGTTAGTCTTATGAAAGAACTCCCCCAGTCATTCGACTGGAGAAGTGATGGTGACCATGCTTACGAGATTTGCTGTTTCAAGTAGGGGTGTTGGGTCAATATTCAAGATAGCTTTTGACTCAGGTTGGAGAAAGAGAATCGGGGGTTTAGGGAAGCTCTCTTTTTTCAAATGCGCTATTTCTTTACGCAAATTATAGGAATATTCTGTTCGTCGAGCTGAACGTGAGGGGTTAATAGGCGAGTTTGTTTCTAAATGCTTTACCCGTTGTATTCTAATTAGGGTTCTTGCTTATCGCAAATTAAAATAAGATTTGATAGAAAAGTCTAAGATTAGCATTTTGATCCGCGATGTCTCAGAGGATGGAGAGTTCGCCTTCCAATGAGGTGAACCGGGTTCGAATCCCAGTCGATACGAATTCCGCTTCCGACTTGCACCGACCACAGTGCTGACGTGAAATATCCTCAGTGGTAGACGGACCATGGGTTAGAGTCCCCTTGCCGTCAGGCTAACCGTGGCAGGTTCTCGTGGTCTTCCTCTCCATGTAACGCAAATGCGGGTTAGCTCCATCAAAATGTCCTCCACGAAGACGAATTTCTCCCAATACTCGATCTAGGAGTTCCCTTGTCTTCTGGATTGGGTTCAAAATGACATGGCTACGGAGCTGAACATTAGTAGTCGCAAATCCATAAAATTGGGTCGGCAGTTCAACGACGGTTATGAAATAAAAAAAAAATATTAGCATATCGCAGGGGTGGGGTAGCCTGGTTGGTAGGGCGTTGGACTCGTATTTGTGAGAACGGAGTTCGAAACCCACCGGCAGAAGAATCCCTGTATATTAAATGGTGACTGGTCTACGTTAAATCTGTCGGGGTCATGATGTCCCCCAAGTTCCCATAACAAATCATTACCTCTGGGGGTACTGATACGGGATCTCCCTTGTCTTCTGGATTGGGATCAAAATTACAAGGATAAGGAATTGAACATAGGTAACAGTAAACCCCGAATTAGGTCGGCTGTTCAACGACGGTTATAAAACAAAAGATTAACTTTTTTTAATGGCATATCGAGCTGCAGTGGAATATCTTCATTAGTAAATCGTAACCTAAATACGGATGAAGGAGTTAAGTTAAGCATTTAGGATGAAATTCTTATAATATCACTCGTGATTAATTTAACTCGTGATCTGCAACTTAAGCTTTCCTTAAATTTGCCTTTTTTTTTCTTTTTTTTTTACTTGGGCAAAAAAGTCTATGTATAATAATCAGATCTAAATAATTACCGTTCTCCGTAGTTACTCACTGGACAATCGCATATTATAAACCAGCTTTTTTACTTTAAGGATTTTTTACTTATTTTTTGATCATCATTATAAATAACAGTCATGAAAGATATTGTTTACCAGCAAAACTGCAATATTTCAGACGAAAGAAGAAAGTTTTCATGATTTTATCGATTTAAACTCATGAAGCGTAAAATCAAGAAAGGAGCCGCTCAAATATAAGGCAAGCACCTAACGGAGGGGTGAATGATTTTCCTATTTGTGCTGATGA